AACCCAAAGCACTCTGGGATTCTGTGAACTAAAGCTACTGGAAAAACAAGGAGAAAGGAACGTCCTGAACTCCCTCACCTGTCCCTGCCCTTTGCAGGCTGTGCCTTTCCAAGGAACGTGTCCCTGCACATTATCCCCGTGGGGCAGGAGAACGTGCAGGGACAAACATGGCTTATCTTGGGAAAGGACAAAATAAGGAGGCCCAGAGCAGCCAGGCAGGAGGAATGACCCAGCCCGAGGGCCCCAGGCAACCACAGCTCCCGGGGAACCGGCGGGATCTCACCTCATTCCCACCCAGAACCAGGAGCTCCAAGGGCTGACTCAAGGCACCACTTTGTGCCTTGACCAAAAACCCCGTGTTCACCCCAAAATGTAGAATCACAGAATATCCTGAGTTGAAGGGACCCCCAAGGACCATCCATCCAACCCCTGGCCCTGCACAGACACCCAAACAATCCCACCCTGGCCCTCAGAGCATTGTCCAAACCCTCCTGGAGCTCTGGCAGCCTTGGGGCTGTGCCCACTGCCCTGGGGAGCCTGGGCAGTGCCCAACCAGCCTCTGGGGGAAGAACCTTTCCCTGAGATCCAACCTAAACACAGCTCCAGGCGTTCCCTGGGTCCTGTCCCTGGTTATGACAGAGCCTGGTGTGACATCCCACCCCAGGGTGTCACCACAACACCCCAGGGCCCCTGGGCCCAGGTAAAGTCGAGGCTGGAACAGAGCCCGGATCACCTGAGGACAAACAGACCCAGCAGGAATAGCCCAGTCCAAAAACAGCACCTAATTTAAGGAGGGCAGGGATAAACCTAAGAAAAGACAAGGGATGTTGCCAAGGGCAACAGCAGGCAGGGATGTGGGATGGCCCAGGAGGGAAGTTTTGTAGGACTGGAGGGAAAGGGAACCACAAGCTCATGGGTCATTTGCTGCAGCCAGACGAGGTTTTTAATCACCCATGCTCAGCCTGCAATGGAGACAATTTCTTCCTAAAAATCCGTTTTCTTCCTAAATACATGGAGAATATGTCACTCCACAAGACAAGGGTCTCAAAGGGTGTCACATTCCAAAAGAAGGCACTGTCGTTTCTTCTGTGAAAACCCAAAGTCTGCCAGAGCTCCAGGTCCTGGAGCTGGCCCTGGGACACAGCTCAGCCACCACAAAAGCCAACACTGTCACCCCCATTGTCCTGCACCCCCCACCAGCCCTGATCCCCCAAACACCTGCCCAGGGAATGCTGCAGCTGGAGAAGGAACCGACCTGAGTGAAATCCCACCAGGCCAAAAGAATTCCCTTTGATCCAGGCCACACCCACACTGCTTACAGTGTATGGGGCATTTCTTTTATTCCCTCAGCTCAGGAAAAAGCAGGATTTAGGGAGACCATATTTATGCGGAAGCATCTTCACAGCTCTCGGTGCTTTTAGGTTTTAAACACAGATTAAACAACCCCTCGGGTATTACCAGAGACACCACAGCTGCCTCTCCCCCTCTTTCTGCCAAGCACTGTGGCAGAGTCTGGAGCAGCTCCTTAAGGCTTGTGGGGCAAAAAAACCCCAAAGTTTGGTAAAATAGAATCAGAGAATCATGGAATGGTTTGGGTTGGAAGGGAATTTGAAGATCACCCAGCTTCACCCCCTGCCATGGGCAGGGACACCTTCCACTAGCCCAGGTTGCTCCAAGCTGGCCCTGGACACTTCCAGGGATGGGGCAGCCACAGCTTCTCTGGGTAACCAGTGCCAGGGCCTCACGTCCCTCACAGGGAAGGATTTCTTCCCAATCTCTAATCTAAACCTAAACACCGAGTTCTTCTCTACCCCTTCCCACCCTGTTCTCAAGACAGGTCAGGATCACAACAGGCCTTGGAATCACAGAATGGTTTGGGTTGGGAAGGGCCTTAAAGCCCATCCAGTTCCACCCCCTGCCACGGGCAGGGACACCTTCCACCACCCCAGATCGCTCAAGGCCGAATCCAACCTGGCCTTGGACACTTCCCGGGATGGGGTAGCCACAGCTTCTCTGGGCAACCCGTGCCGGTCCCTCCCCATCCCCATCCCGGGGGTCCCGATCCGGCCCCGGTTCCCCCCGGCCCGGTCCGACCCCCCCGGCCGGGCGCGCGCGGGACAACGGTCCGTTCCCAGTCCTCTCCCCGGTCCGCACCGCGCGGCCCAATCAGCGCCCGGCCCTCCCCGCCCGCCTCCCCCGCGCGGGCCAATCAGCGCGCGCGCCGCGCCCCGGCCAATCGCCGCGCGCGGCCGTTGGGGTGGAGGGGATGGGGGGGGGGAGAGCCCGCAACGACCCCTCTCACGGGCCGCCCCCGCCCCGCGCCCCCTCACGGGCTTCCCCGCGCCGCCCTCCCCGCGCACTCACCGAGGCGGCCCGCGCCGCGACCTCCCGCTGCTCCGCGCGGCGCCCGCGCTGCCTCCGGCGCGGCTCGGCGGCGGGAGGCGGGAGGGGAAAGAGGAGGGGGGTGAGGGGGGGGCGACCGGAGCGGAGTGAGCGCCCGGCGGCCGAGAAACAAGATGGCGGCGGGGCCGTGAGGCGGCGGGGCGGAGGCTCCGCCCTCTTCCCCCCCCCCCCGCCTCCACGGGCCGCGGCGGGCGCGTGACCCGGCGGAGATCTCGCGAGAGCGGCGGGGGCGGGAGGGGCAATGGCGGGTGAGGGGAAGGACCGGGCCCGGGGTGAGGGGAACGGACGAGCCTCGAGGGGCGGCCAGACCCTCCCTCTGGGACAAGTCTGTCCTGTCCTACACCCCTGCGGGCCGCGGCTCCGAGGCGTTAGGCCTCTGCCAAGGCCAACTTCCAGGTTTTTCCTTTGTGAAACGAGCGGGAAGCCTGTGGTGTTTCGCTGTGAAGTGTGCTTGTAATAAATTGAGTGGTGGATAAATCCATTAAATATGTTGGATAAAGAGAGTGATGACCCTCAATAAACGTTCTCCAGGCCAGAATTTGGCATATTCTGGGGAATTTTAAAGGGTTTTTTTGAATGGAATAATAATAATAATAATAATAATAATAATAATAATAATGTTTGGGTTTTTATTATGATAATAATTAGGAATAGTATATTAATAATAATAATGCCATTAAATAGGTAGTAACTGGATTGACTCAGTGAATCCTGTTATATAGTTTAACTATATATGCACACAAAAGGAAAATAACTCGTGTCACTGTACGTATCTGGTGCACCACGGAGTTCTGGCTGTTCACGTCCTTGGGGGGAAATGTTACTGAAATAAATAGAGAAAGTAATTAGAGATCCTTTCCCTCTCTTTGAGCAGAGAGTCAAGGCAGCTGCTCTTCAGAAAAAGAAACCCAAACAGAAACAGAACCAAAAAGGGAGAAGGAGCAGGAAGTCCCAGAAATCACTAGAATTCTCCATACCTCTAACAGATTAGTTGTTTTAATTAATACAGCAGGAAAATAGCAGTTTCCTAGTAGTCTTTTTTTTTTTTTTTCCATTTCCATAGTTTTTTTGCCTCACTGTACAGACGTGTAACAGCAGCTCTGCTTAACCAGCATGTCCCTGGCAACAAAGCTCCTCAGCCCTGCCCTCCCCGAGCCTTTTGGGCTCATCCAGGGCCATTTCCAGCCCTGCTGTCCCAGCCCTGAGAGCTGGCCAAGTTCAACCTGGCCGAGCTGGCCAAGGGCTCGGATCCATCAGCACAGGATGACTTTCTCCTGCCACCCTGGAGCCGGTTCAAGCAAAAGTCTGTGCTCTGCTCCAGCCAGCTCTGCCATTCCCAGGGACAGGCAGCTCTCCCATTCCCAGGGATGGCTTTGCTGGCTCCAGGACATGGCAAACTGAGGGGTGACTCATCCTGCTTCGGGATTTTTCCCATGAAAAAAAAAATCACTTTTCCTTAGAAGCGACTCCATCTTTGCCTCCTTATTCTTTCCTGTGCCCAAATTGGCATCTAGAAAGGTTTCTTTTTTATGTCATCCTTAAATCTAGTTTTTCATGATATGAAATCATCGTTTATCACTTTAAACATCATTTGAGATGGGAAAGGAAAGTCGGGTCCCACGTGGCTGCTGCACTTCCAGTCACCCTTCCCAAAACCGCCGGGGCAGTTTCTGGCACAGTGGTTTGCTGTGCTCCCTGTGCAAGGGGATGAAATCCCTCCTGCATCCTGCAATCCCTGCATCCCACGGACACAGGGAGTTTGGGATCTGTGCTTTCTGTCCCGTGACTTTTGCCCAAATGTAGGAAATGGGACCAAGTTCTGCGGCCGCCGTGGTCTCCGAGCTCGGCTGCTCCGGAGGCTCCGTGCTGGCACTGGAGTGGGAAACGTCTTGCAGCAAATTCCTGCAGTTTTATTGGAAGTCTTGCAACTCAGGGCACTTGCAAGGCAGCCAAGAGAAATAAAAGTTGTAGAATCACGGAGTGCTTTGGGTTGGAAGGGACGTTAAGGATCATCCCGTTCCACCCCCTGCCCTGGGCAGGGACACCTTCCACCAGCCCAGGTTGCTCCAAGCCCCATCCAGCCTGGCCTTGGACAATTCCAGGGATGGGGCAGCCTCAGCTTCTCTGGGAAATTCATTCCAGCCCCTCACCACCCTAATGGCTGCTACTGTTTGGGTTTTTTTTTTTTAATTCCCAAATTTCTGAGCCACCCTCCTATTGCAGCGTGGGGGGTGACAATCCCAGCACTCCCCTTCAAAATGCCTCGTTTATAGATCAATTAACCAGCCCTGCTGCTGACAGTGCTGCCAGGCCCAGCTGCCAAAACACCCAGCTGTTCCTCCTGCCAGGATCCAGCCCCACTCCAGGGATTTCTGGACAATCCTCCTCCTCCTCCTCCTCCCACTGGATCCTTTCATGCCTGTAGGGCTCCGTTTCCTCCCCACCTGCTCCCTCGGCAGCAACGGATCCATTGTCTGGAGCTGCTCAGCTTCCCCAGAAGGATCCCAGCAAACACAGAGCTCCCTGTCAGCCTGCCCAGAACGTGGAGGAGCCAAGGAAAACAAGAAAGAAAAAAAAAAAAAAAAAAAAAAGGAAAGAAGAAAGCGCTTTTCCACTCGGCTTTATCGGCGCTCGCATAAATCTGGTGGTGGTTCGTTGAGTTTGCGCTTCCCCAGCACCTGCCACCTGCTCAGCTGATCCCTCCCACGCTCCCTGAGGGGCTGTGCTGCTCCAACTGCACCCCAGGGCCGGATTTGGGAGGGCTGGATTTGTTTGACACGGAGGAAAACCGTCTCTCAGAGCAGCAGGGACAGGCCTGGCCCTTCCCAGCTCAGCCCCCGCCATCCCCCGGGACTCCCGTTCCAGCGGGGCTCTGGACTCATCCCAAACAGGCTGCTGCTCTGGGGCAGTGATCCACGAGCAAAGGAAAACCTGGATTTAAATTATTTATGGATATGGACACGCTGCCTTGTAGATTTTTAGGGAAAAGGAGGCTATTTAGGGCCAGATTTTGGGGCCCATTTTTCCTGGCCCTTTGTGCCACATCCCACCTGGTGCCTCTTCTAGTTGGGGAACATCCCTATGATAAATTTAAGGATATTTAATAAGAGTATTTATCTGCCTGGACATAGATTTTTGAAGCCCCTGTAGAAACCTTGTCTCTGAAATTAAACCCCAGAAAGATGATTTGACTCGGGAGAGATGATGGTTTGGGTGTTGCCACAGGATTCCTTGGGAAACCAAAAGACCTGAGGGATGATAGGGATGATCCAGTGCCAGCCCTGGGGTTGTGGATCACCTTTTGCACTCAGGTAGTTTGAGGTTTGAACCCAGGACAGAGGTGCTTTTACCTTCTCTGATCCAGAGGGGAGCTCCCGGACAAATCCTGCTCTCCCAGCCCTCCATCCCTGGGGAAGAGACGACAGAAATCAGCAAAACCCCTCAGAGTCAGGAAATCTCTGAACTTCCAGAGCTGCAGATGAGCCACTCTGAGCTGAGGTGCTCAGCCCAGCACTAACTGGGAGGCCCCATTCCCAGTATTCCCAGTTCAGTGCTGGCAGTGGGGAGAGGACGCAGCTCCCAGCTCGGAGCTGGGATTGGATCCCAGTGACTTTCCCAGTGCCTGCAGCATCCCGGGGAGAAGCAGATGGTGCCCGGTGTCTCTTGCCTGGCCCACCCCTCTGGCTCTCCCAGTACCCCACTGGTGAGCACACGTGACCCCCCTGCTCCTGCAGGAGGGCAGAGGAGGTTTTCCAGCCTCTCCACACGGCTCCTTCTCCTGCGGGAAGTGGGACGAGCTGCAGAGCTGACACAGCACCGGCAGCTCATCCCAGTGGGAATGCCCAGCAGGGCCAAGGGGAGGAGCCCCTGTGCCCACCCAGGCTCATCCCACAGCCTGGCACCCTCCCAGGGCATGGTTATTCCTGGGAATACACACTGGGTTTGCCCAGTCCCGGCCTAAACCATCCTCTCCCCAAAACCCATCACGAGGTGCAGCTTCTCCCTCCCCAAATGCCCGGCCCTGGGTTAGGCTCCAGGACCTCCTGGGCAACCTCAGAGTCCCCTGGGAAGCTCCGGGATGCCCTGGAGCAGCCCCAGGACCCCTCTGGGAAGACAGAGAGTCCCCTGGGAAGCTCCTGGATGCCCCAGAGCAGCTCCAAGACCCTCCGGACAGCCCCAGGACCCCCAAAATTCCTACCTCTTCTCTGTGTTTCTGCTGCCCATTCCATCCACCTCTGTCCAGGATGAGCAGGATCCACACCACGGGAAATGTCCATCCTGTCCCAGGGAAAGGCAGCACGTGGCACCCCCAGGGGCTGCAGATCCCGGGGTCACCCTCGCAGGGACACCACGGTTTGGCTCAGCTTACAAAGCCTCTCCCGGGCTTCCCACTATCCCACATCCAGCTCATCCCCATCCACATGCTGCCCATAACCCCTGCAGGGCTGTGAAGCCAAGCCCTGGGAATCCTCTTACGGGGGTTTTACTGGAATAATCGCATTAAACCACCCCCTTTTCGCCGGCACAAACCCAAAAGGTAAAGGAGAAGGTGGTGAGGAGCAGAGAGGGCAGAGAGCTGAGCTCCTTAAGGAATTAAGAGACATGAGAGATGGGAGAGCTCTGATGGGATCCCCACCCCGCTCCAGGGAGGCACTTCCCAAGGGATTGGTGCCACAGTCTCGAATCTGCAGGAACAAACCACCCGGTGTGAGGTTGGTGATCCCGGAGCAACCTGCCAAAGGGAAGCAGAAAAGCAGGGTCAGGCAAAAAACTTCCAGTGGAACAGAAAACTTCGTCGTTATTATTTTACCGTTGCCGTGAAACTTCCTGTTTTATCATGGAAATGTGCCAGCTGAAAAAAAAAACGTAAGGAGAATCTTTTCGCTGGCTGAGGCAGGTGTTTTCACTATCTCTTCCCCCCAGACAATATGTTCCCAGGGCTGACACTTTCTCCACAAAGCTGGAAGTTTGCTTTGATGGAACACGCTCCCCTATGGAGAGATTTTCGGCTGGTTTTCCTGACTATTCCTCACAAAGGCCCCTCTGGACAACCTCTCTCCTCCCTGAGTTTGTTTATACGCTTTGAACCCTGTTAGGAAACCATCTCCCTACTTCAGCGCTGTTTTATCCAAGTTTCCATATTTAGTTCTTTCAGCTATTCCTGTTCCTCACCAGCTTTCCCGTGCACAACCCGCCACATCCCAGTTTTCCCTGTCCTTCCCCTCCAGCAGCTGCCACAGGGGGGAATTTCCCCCCCATCCTCCCTGCACGGATGGATTGAGCGCTGTACTCACCCTGGGCACACGATCCCAAATCACTCCCCACACCCCCATCCCAATATCAGGATCTCAGCGAGGGCCGGGTGGTTTCCCCCAGCCCCAGGTGCTGGTGGTGGTCCCAGGACCCCGGGCAGGGTGGAGATGGGAAGCCTTTCCCACCGGGAAAGCCAAGCCTGGCAGTGTTTGAGGATTTGAGGGAGGGACAGAGTTAAAGGCGGTGAAGGAGGGTTTCCTCCCGGCACGTGGCTCCATGTCAGCCGCGGTGCGCAGCCGGCAGAGGCAACGCAGGGAAAAGCACTGGAGGAATTTACCAGGAGTAGAGAGAGACGCTGCTCAGAGGGAAATTAGTGTTTGCATCCAGGGAGCCAAGGTGAGTCCAAGGGCAGCGCGGGAATCGCTGCCTCCCCGCTCCAAACCCTTCCTTCAGAGGGAACCCGGGCACCGGCAGTGCCCCCTCGGTCCCTGTCCCCCTGGGAGGGCCACGCTCGTGCTCCAGCGGCAGCCGAGGCATCGGAGCCGGGAGATTTGTGTATTCCCAAAGGAGCCCCGCGGCCACCCAGGCTGAGCGGGACGGGCTGGCAGCGCTGCAGCTCTGCCCGGAGCCTCCCGGGGTCCTGGGGGCACTGAGGGCTGGCTCAGGGGTCTGGGTGGGGATGCTCGGGGTCAGGGTGACAGCAGGGGGGGGTGGCCAGCAGTTCTTGGGGTCCATCTGAGAGAGAAGGGTCAGGTGGCAGCCCTGGAGTCCAACTGGTGGGTGTAGGGTCCAGCTGGAGGTTTTTGGGATCCCTTTGATGGGTGCAGGGTCCAGTTGGAGGCTCGTGGGGTTCGTTTGATGGGTGCAGGATCCGACTGATGGGTGCAGGTTCCACCTGCTGGCTCTTGGGGTTCACTTGATGGGTGTAGGATCCAGCTGGTGGTCCTTGAGCTCTGGTTAATGGGTCTAGAGTCCAGTTAATAGGTGTAGGGTCCAGCTGGAGGCTCTTGGGGTCCAACTGATGTGTGTAGGGTCCGGTTAATGCATCTAGAGTCCAATTGATGCGTGTAGGGTCCAGTTAAGGGTCTAGAGTCCAGTTAACGGGTCTAGAGTCCAGTTGACGTGCGTAGGGCGCAGTTGGAGGCTTCTGGGGTTCAATTCATGGATGCACAGTCCAGTTTATGGGTACAGGGTCCAGCTGGATCCTCCCGGGGTCCGGCTAGCAGGTGCAGGATGCTCCCGTCCGCCCTCAGGCTCCACCTGATGGATGCAGGGTCCCACCGCCGCCTTTCGGGGTCCGGCCGACAACTCTCCCCGCGCATCTTCCGGGGGGGCACCGGGCAGCCCCCGGCCGACCCCTCGGTGGGTACCGGCCCCTCTCCGCGCCGCCCGGGCCGTCGGGGCCGGCCCCGGGGCTCCCCCGCCCGCCGCTCCCAGCAGCCCGCCGGGGCCGAGGGGAGGAGCGGGCACGGGCGGCGGCGGCGGCGGCAGCGGTGAGTGAGTGCCCGCGGGGTGCGGTGCTCCGGGCGCCCGGCACCGCGGCAGCGCCGGTCCCCGCGGCCACCGGGGCCGCACCTGCCCCGCAGCATCCCCCGCCCGCGGCCGGGAAGCGGGAGCGGTGGCGGTGGGGTTTTTTTTTTCGGGAAGGAGGGATGGGGGGGAGGATGCCCGTCGCGGATGCGGTGCCGGGGGAGCAGCGGGATGGGCGCTCCGGGAGGGGGGAGGAGGTGGGAAGAGGGGTCCCGACCGCCGTGGGGAGAAACCCGGTGCTTCCCACCCCGCGGCTGCCGGCGAGGCACCCCTAAAACATCGCCCAGGCGCTGAGCGGGGATGTGAACACCCCAAAAACATCGCTGCGCCTAAAGCGGGGGGGCTGCGGCCGCGCTGCCCTCCGTCCCAACCCGGAGAGCTCCGGTGAACCGGAGCCCTCCCCGGTGCGGGGCGGGCAGCGCTTCCCGGCCGGCGGCTGGGCAACGGGAGCGCTTTCCCGTGCCATCCATCATCGCCGCTGAAAGCCCGTTGACGTCAAGCCCGTCCCGTGCCCGCCGGTCCCCACGGCCGGGAAAACGGGGAGAGGGACCCGGGGAAGCCGGGAGGGACCTGCCGAGACTCTGCCCCCGGGCACCGTCCTCGCCCTGAGCGGCTCGTGTGCGGCCAGGGCTCACCTCGTCCCGGGATTCCCGGCGCCTCCAGCCTGGGCTTCGGGTATTGGTTTGCCTCTTGCTCCATCCCGGGAGTCTGTTCCGCCCTCCGTGGGGTTTGGGGCAGGTGCCCCGGTCGGTTCTGTAGGGAAATGTGTGAAGGAGCTGGTGAGGGAGAGGGAAACGGTGTCCCGGGATGGGCAGAGACCCCTGCGCTGCTCCCTCTTGCTCTGACCGGGGTGACACTGAGTGGGGAGAAGTCCGAGGGCAGCGTGGCATCATTCATCCCCTGGCACCCCAACGGGCACGGCCTGGCAGCCACCATGTCCCCACCATGTCCCCACCGTGTCCCCCTCCTGCTCTGCGCCTCAAAACAGTCCCCAGGGCCACCGTGTGGGAGCTCACGGGTCCCCACGGGAGGTGATGGCTGTGATGGGCTCTGTGCTGGTCAGTGCCCACTCCTGGGGGTCTGGGAAGCATGGCAAGGGGGCTCCCGAGGCTGAATCCCATCACTTGGTGCCCAGGGAGCATCCCACGGGCTGCGCTGCTGAGAGTGGGAGGCTGCGGATCCCCCCGAGCCAGGGGCACAGGGCTGGGCTTGGCTTGCAGGCCAAAGCCAGGCTTTGCTGCCGGGCACAGCAGCCCCAGGGTCCTCCCTCTGCCAAGGGGTGTGGGATCACCTGCCCAGCCCGTCCCCAGCCCCTTCCCTGGCAGCCCCGTGGCTGCTCTGCACCTTCACCCCCAGCCCCAGTTTGGCGTGTGCCCGTTTCTCTCTGCACCAACACCACCAACACCTCCCCGGAGCCACTCCTGCTGTGCTCACACTTCTCTCCCCGTGTACCTTCTCCAACATGACATCCTTTGGTGAGGGCAAACTCCTGCCACCTCCCACGGCCCAGCACTCCGAGTTCTTGCTTCTTCGTCCTCGTTCCAGCCCCGTCCTCGCAGCACAGCCTTTGTGGGACAGGGACAGAGGGTGAGATTCTGGCGTCTTGGTCTGACCTTTGCTTGGCCCCTTTCACCCCAGTTCAGGGGGAAAATCCCCTCCAGCTTCCCCTCCACACACACCCCCCCAGTCCACCCCCCCAAGCTCCGTGGGCTCTGGCTGCAGCACAGCCCTCCGGGAAGCACCACATGGATACGAGATGCAGTTTAAGGTGATGAAAATCCCTAATTTTCCTGCTTATTAAAACCCAAGCCGTGCGGCACCAGCTCCCTGCATCCCTGTCAACGCGCCGAAAATGTTTTGTCACAGCTTCTCAAAGAGCAGGAAAACAGCCTTGTTAAGGAATTATTGTGAAGTGATTTAGCTCCAATTGACAGCCCTGCTGACACTCCGCGTTCGCTGCCTGAGGGGCTCCTTTCCTGCCCCGGGATGCTGTGTTGGGTGGTGGTGGGAGCCTCTCCAGGCTCCTCATCCTTCCCACAGAAGAAGGGGCTCCTGGAGCTGGAGGTCTCAGCCTGAAAATTGGGAATTGCACTGATTTTGGTTGTTGGGTGGCGGAGCAACGCGAGAGCTTTTGGCCTCGTCTTCGGGCACGTCGTGCATCGCCCTCCTCCCCAGCCGTGGCACGTGTGGCACCTCGCTGGGATCAGCTCCATCGTCCTCCAGGGACACAGGTGCTGCTGGCACCCCGGGGGTTCTGCCCCAGCTCCTCGTGCCAGGCCGGCTGCAGAGGTGGCAGAGTGATGGGTGTTTGCCGCAGGCTCCCGCTGCCTCCTGGCATCGCTCCGGCTCTCAGAACTCTTCCTGTGGCAAGCAAGTTTTCTGCTGATCCCTGAAGAAGCTTTGGAATAATAGTGCAGTCTTAGCATTTAAAAAAGCAACTTTTTCTGCAAACAAACCTGCTCCCCCCCGCCGGCTCCTGCTGGGCTCGGGAGCGAGCTGGGACCTGCGGGCTGGATGCGGCTGGGCAGGGAAAATAGGATCCAGGCAGGCAGGGTCCGGGCTGTTGGCAGGTCCTGCTGCTGGATATGGAATTGGGGGGGCAATGGAGGGTGTGGATGGGTTTGGTCACCCATCCTGGAGCTGCTGGTTTGGCTCTGGGGACACGTTGGGCGTCGCTGCAGTGAGCGGGCACGAGCAACCAGGGGTGGAATCTGGTCAGCGCTTGGATTTGAACCTGAGGGGACTCCAGAGCTCTTGGCCCCCGTGGGATATGAAGCCCCTGGAAGGCAGAGGGATATTCACCGGTGCAGAACAGGGAGGGAAGGGGAGGCTGCTGGGTGCTGGCCACCGAGGGAAGGAAATCAGATGTGTGTGAGGAGCAGAGCGCTGGTAGGAGCAGCAGAAAGCCAGGGCTGATAGCAGCCCTTCCCCTGGAGGAAGCAGCTCCATGAAATATTGATGGGATTCACACACGGCAGACGAGCTGTGTGAGCTGCATTGCAGAGCTGGGAGCCGTGCAGCCGGAAAGGCAGCGGCAGCTGGGTAACGGGAAAAGCTCCTTCCCACATCCCCTCCTTCCCACATCCCCTCCTTCCCACATCCCCTCCCTGCCGGAGGAGATCGGCCCGGCCTGGCAGTGCCAGCCCTCGGTGCCCGAGCGCCAGGCGAGGGGGGAGTTGGGATCTGAGCAAGGTGATCCCATTCCCAACCCCATCTCCGGGGGCCGCCAAAGACCCTGGGCTGGTTTCTCACATCTCCGTTGCCTCCCCATGGAGCTGTCCCAGATTTTGGGGCCACGTGGCTGCTGGGCTCGTGCGTGTCCCTGCTCCATCCCGAGCTGCCCATCGTGGCCACCACCAGCACCAGGGTGCAGCCAGTGCAGGGGCCCCGAGCTCAGCCTTGGCATCCTGGTCCACTGTGGGATGAGTCCGGACCACCAGGGATGCCCAGTGCTCAGGGCAGTGCCAGGAACCCCCGGGGCTCTCCCGGCCAGGTGGGCCCAGCAGGACCTGGCTGTCCCCCAGCCTCAGCCCTGCCGGGTGGCTTTTGCTCCTCGGATTCCTTCCTGTTGCCTAGGAAACGATGGGATGCGGCAGGGATCTGATTTGCCCGGGCAGCAGACGTCACACAGGGACAGGGGGGAAAAAGGACAGCGTGGTCAGGGCTGCTGCTGCCTCAGGAGGGGGCTCTGCCCCAAATCCGGCCACCAGGCAGGGTCAGACATGGATGGCCCTGAATTCCTCACCTGTCCCACCCCTCCAGTGAAAGGTGGCCACGAGGTGGGTGGGGGAAGATTCCGTGTTCCTGTCTGTCCCACTGGAAAATACTTGGTTCCGTGTCCTGGTGCTCCTGGATGGATCCCATCTTCCAGGAGCGTCACTTCTGCTGGAGCTGTGGCAGCCAGGCTGGCTGGAGGTGGACACGAGCTTCAGGGATGGGGATGGGAAGTAAATCACTGTGGCTGAGATGCATTTGGATGTGCTGGCACTGAGGAAGACTCGGGACAGTTGGTTCTCTGGGGTCATTTCTCCTTGGACACCCCCACGCAGGGCTGTGGCTCGGGTTCCCTCTGGCTCTGGGTCCCACTGGTGTTCCCAGTCCATCCCTGTGCAGGAGCAGCACGGAAGAGAGCACCTGGAGCAGACCCAGCTCCATCCAGGAATACCATCCCGCCGGTTATCCCAGAAGAGATGTGATGCATTGCCTGGGGCCTGGCAGAGCTGATCTCCCTGAAACCACCTCTCCACCCACACCACGACCTCCAGCACTTCCCATCCTGATGGAAAACCTCCGGCTGCTGCAGTCAGACCTGCTCCCACCCAAGCACCTGCCTTTTGGGGAATCATCCAGACTGGAATACGCTGTGGGATTTCCCTCCTCTTCTTCCTGCCAGGCACAGACTCACTAAACCTCTCTCATCCAACAGCCAGGCCTTTTCCAGGAGCAGGAGCTGCTCCCGTGGGACCCCTGAGCACAGCCCCATCCAAACCTCTCCCCTCCACTTGTCCTACAGCTGGAGCACATTTGGACCCATCCTTTCATTTCCAGGTTTCTGTTTCTCATGGAGCTGGTGTTCCAGCCAGGATATAACTTTTATATCCTGCCTGAGCCGTGAGATGCTTAATTCCAGTACCTGGAGTTACTTCCAGGTTCTCAGCTCACATGCACCCAATTATACCCCTTGTTGGGCAATTAAATTTATATGAGCAGCTGCCTATCAGAGCTGAAGCAATTAATTAGAATTAAGTACTTTTAGGGGAAATAAGCCCTTGCCTTATTCCCAAATACAAGCAGGAGCATGTCCATGTGAGCTGTGCTGCTGGGGCTTGCCCTGATGTGTTGTGCCTGCTCAGGACTGGCAGGGCCTCAAAGTGGAAGCTCTAGCAAGACTTTTTTTCCCCTAAAAACGCTGATTTTAGGACCTACCTGCTCCAGTCATCAGCACTTTTCAGTGCTCTCCCTCCAGGCTCGAGGCAGCCCCAGCACAGGGGTCTGGGGGGAAAGAAGAACCTGCTGCCCCACTGCCAGGGGTTTCCAACCCCAAATCTCCCTGGGAACACCCACCCCAAGGGAGGAGACAGCCCCCAAAATCCCTCTGCCTCCTTCCCTGGCAAGGCAGCATCCCAGCCACCCCCACTGTGCTCATTTATCACCCTCCTCCTCCTCCTCTCCCCACCCCCTGTCAGGAGCCCTTTCCCACCTGTGTGGGGGCACCTGCTGGGCTCCTCCCCCCTTCTCCAGAGCCTTTTCCAAAGCACCAATTTTCCCCATCAATATTTTGCCCCTCGTTTCTATTCCCGTGGAATATTTGGGGCCAGGGCTCTCTCCCAGCCCCAGGTTGCTCCTTTCCACACCTGGCACTGTCGGGTCACTGGGATCCATCCGCTCCTGGGGTCACCTCTGACCCCCCCCCCCTCTGTGCTGCCTCCATCCCCACTTTTCCCATCCCCAGCAGCTCCACGACATCTGTCTTCAGGGATTCAGTGGGATCATCAGACACCCAAAACCTGGCACGGGGAGATGCCCCCAGCCCCGCCAGGGCACATCCCACCCCGCTGGACCACTGTGCCCCTGCTCGGGGCTGGCAGGAGAACTGGGTCAGCCGTGTAACCATGGAGATGCTGAGGGAGATGCTGAAGCGGCGCCAGCACAGCCCCGGCTCTCCAGAACCCTGGAAAGATTCCCCAGCCCTGGCACCGTCCGTGTCCGGCCGGGATGGGGCTGGGAAGCTGAGCTGAGCCTCCTCGGGGCGCAGGGCGGTAAGATGCCCCCATCTCCTCTTCCTTTTTTTTTTTTGGGGTGCCATGAGCGGGGAGGGCCGAGCCTCGCCGGGGTTCCTGCGCCGCAGCCACGATCCGAACGCAACAGGGAGCCGTTTTTCCTGCTGGTTGTGCTTCTCCCTGCCCTGTGCTGCGTGTCCGGGGGATGCTACAGCCAGGACGCCTCTCCCGGGGGGCTCGGCCGGTGCCCGGGGGCTCCGCGCATCCCGCAGCCGTCCCAGCCGCGGGGGGAGCCGGGGGCTGGCTCGCTGGAGAACTTCCCGGCGCTGGCGGTGGTGGTTGTTTCCCGCAAGGACGGTGCGTGGTGGCGGTAAGGGCTGCTCCCACCCCGGGAGCTCGGGAACGTGTTCCCACGGCGGGGGAGGAGGGGGCTCGGGTGCGGCGTCGCGGTTGCTTGCTCCGAGAATCCCGGTGTTTTGTGACATAGGGAATAAATGCATGGATGGGGGAAGGGGGGGGGGGGTTAGTGTGTGAAGGGAAACCTGGTGCCATTCCCTGAATCCCTGCACGTTTCTGGGGAAAGGGAGCTGGAGCTGAGGCAGCAGCAGGGCTGTATGTTCATCATCAGGCTGAGGATGCTGTGGTGGTACCAGGGATGCTGTGGTGGTACCAGGGATGCTGTGGTGGTACCCAGGATGCTGTGGCCATGCTGAGGATGCTGTAGCCGTGCCAAGGATGCTGTGGTGGTACCAGGGATGCTGTGGTGGTACCAAGGATGCTGTGGCCATGCTGAGGATGCTGTGGCAGTGCCAAGGATCCCGTGGCTGTGCCAAGGCCGGCTCAGCAGTGGGAGCCACAGGCTCCGGCGCTCAAACACTGCCCCCAGCCCAGCACCAAGCACCAGGCACCCCCTTTACCCCTCACCCAGCCCCTGCTCTGTGCAGGAGCAGGCTGTGCAAGGAGATGAGGGGTAAAACCACGGGGAAGGGTGAAGAAAATCCTTCCCCCGGGCTGAGGAGCGCGCTCCGCTTCCCTCGCGGGCGGATTATCCCCGGGTGTGTTGCATTGGAAATGATCCCATTAGCGCTCTGCTCTCCTGATCTAATTTGCTCCCACCAGAGCCTGGTGCTCTCCGGGGCTGCTGGGGTGGGAAACAGCAGCAGGAAGGAGCCTTTTGTGCTTCCTTGGCCCTGCAGAGGACGGGGCTCGCTCGCACCAGGGGATTTCTTGCCCCTGGAGGGGCCTGGGCTGGTCTGAGCCCTCTGCACAGGGACCTGTGTTTGCTTGGGCACAGCCTGATGCCAGGTTTGCCAGTGGGGAAACTGAGGCCTGGGGAAGTGGTGTGGGCCTGCTGGGAGGTGGTTGGGATCCATTCCCTGTGGCAGGTGCTGCCTGAGAGAAAGCTCGGTGGTGGCAGCGAGTGTGGGGCTGGAGCGTGCCTGGAGAGCGGCGGGTGGCGTTGGAAGGGGTTCATCCCAAATGTCCCAAAGGCAGTGGCTCAGCCCTGACTCCTCCTAGGACAGGAGCTGCTGGCTGCTCTCTCCCAGCTTGGCTACCATCAGCACATGGCTGTGCTGGGGCGGCTCCAGAGCTGGGGCTCACCCCACACCCACACCTTTATCCAAAGGGCTCCATCCCTCTGGAACTGGGGCTCACCCCACACCCACAGCTTTATCCAAAGAGCTCCATCCCCCTGGAGCTGGGGCTCACCCCACACCCACACCTTTATCCAAAGGGCTCCATCCCTCTGGAACTGGGGCTCACCCCACACCCACACCTTTATCCAAAGGGCTCCATCCCTCTGGAGCTGGGGCTCACCCCACACCTTTATCTGAGGGGCTCCAGCCCCTGTGCAAGTGTCAGTTCAGCAGCACAGACAGAGAATCCCCCGTGCCCACGGGTACCCGAGGGGAGGCTGATGCTGTGCTGAACCCCAGATCTTGCCCAGGGCAGGGGGCTGTGCCAGGGTCCCACTCAGCAATGACCCCACTGGGCACAGGGAGTGTGGGGGGTGAGGGCCGTGGGTCGGTGCCACGTGCTCCCCCAAGGGAGCCTGGGCAGGAAAACAGCCCAGCCAGGAGGGTGCTCTGGGAGCTCGTTAATGATATTAATGACTAATCGCCCACTTGCCCCTGTAATTGATAAATCCAGGAGTTCAGCAGGGCTGGAGCTGCGCCCGTGGCTCCTGCCAGGTCTCATCCCAACCATACCCTGAATCCAGGCCTCCCATCAGGTCTCATCCCAAGCTTGCCCCCTGTGAAGCCCCTTCCTGCACTGGCAGTGGGCAGCAAAGGCCCCTGCCCTGCCCCCCTGCCCAGCCCCAGCTCCCCTGCACTCGTGTCCCTTTATCTCTCTCCAAAGGGAAATATTTTCCCAGGCTCTGCCTCCATCCATTATCATAAAGTGGCTTCACTTGGCCTGCAGTTAATAATTCACCTTTCCTTGGAAGATGGATGCTCCACACCACTGGAGCTTAAATATTCATGGGGAAGGGAAGGCAGCAGGGCCGGGCAGGAGCTCTGGCACAGCCTCTGCCACCCTCAAATGCTCTGGTGCCCCCGGCACCTCCAGCCTCTGGCTGCTCCAGGGATTCCCATCCTGGGGTGGAGCAGGCTCACCTGGAGCAGGCTCACCTGGAGCAGCACACAGGGAAGCTGCAGCCGTGGTTTGGAGAGGGAGATGTGCAGGGAGAACTCGGCTGGGCACAGTTTTGGGCACTCTCAGGGTGGACGGGGCTGTGTCCAAGGGTCCCCTTGTCCCAGCCCAGGCGGGTTGGTGACACTCTGAGCCTTCTGCTCATCCAGGTCTCTTCTGGGTGTTGGGAGTGTCCAGGTCCTGTGGGATGCTGGGGAAGGGCTGGTGTGATCCAGCTGCATGGGGGTCCTGCACCCCTTCCTGTGCCAGCCCCTGCTCCACGGGTGGGGAGGGACCCATGAGGACCATCCAGTCCAACCCCTGGCCCTGCCCAGACACCCCAACAATCCCACCCTGTCCCTCAGAGCATTGTCCAAATCCTCCTGGAGCTCTGGCAGCCTTGGTGCCGTGCCCACTGCCCTGGGGAGCCTGGTCAGTGCCCAACCAGCCCCTGGGGGAAGAACCTTTCCCTGAGATCCAGGGACTCAGTGGGCAGTGCCACCTGAACCCCGTGGATCTGCGAGTGCCTCGGGGGCCCATCCACCCCCTCGGGGCTGCCCTGGGTGTGACAGCAGCGACACAGCCGGTGCCACCACCCCTGTGCTGCCATCCCTGACACCTCCCTTGCCTTGCCCCCGCAGCTGATCCCACGGAGCGGGGCCGGGGCCGGCGGGCGCGCAGCGGCTGACCATGTTCAACGGGGATGCCAGCTCCATCACCGGCTCCATCACCGGCTCCATCACCGGCTCCATCTCCAGCTCCATCTCCGGCTCCATCTCCAGCCCCATCGCCGGCTCCATCGCCGGCTCCTCGGCGGCCAGGAATGTGGTGCGCAGCTCCAGCATCAGCGGGGAGATGTACAGCCTGGAGAAGAGCGCGCGGGGCAGCGCCGACTCCGTCTCCGTCACCGCCAGCAAGAAGAGACGCTCCAGCCTGGGCGCCAAGATGGTGGCGATCGTGGGGCTGTCCCAGTGGAGCAAGAGCACCCTGCAGCTCAACCAGACTGGTGAGAGCTCAGCCCCCCTGCCTGCTTTGTTTTCACCCCCCACCCCCCCAGCTCTGGCTGCCCCGTGTGTGACGAGACCCCTAAAAAAGCTGCCCAAAAAAAAGCCCTTTTTAACCCCCCACCCCACCCCCGGCGCTTCTCCCGGTGCCGAACCCGTTGGCAAACCCCAGGTGGGGATTTGGGGGATTTTGGAGGTCAAGGCAGTGTCAGTGGTCTGGGATGGGGCCAGCACTTGAGCTTGGCAGGTTTCAGCAGAGGGGGGGGTGCCTGGGGTGTAGGGGGGAACACGGCTGGGGTGCAGAGGGGAGATGGTTGAGGTGCAAGGGGGGGTGTCTGGGGCCCAGGGGGGTACCTGGGGTGCTGGGGGGAGCTCTGCCCGTGCTGGGGGTCCTGGCCTGAGTGTCCCCCTCCTCAGTTACACCCAGCCCTGGCTGTGGGCAGGGAGGGAGCTCGGAGAAAGGACTTGTCAAACGCCCTGGCTCTGGGAAATATTGAAATGGCTTAAAATAGCTGTTTGAGGGGCGGGGGAAGCACAAAGCTCATTTTAGTGCAGGCTTTTCCTCTAGTTACTGCTTCTTTATCCTGCTGCTTGTTGGCATCCCATGATCTGGGAAATGCTCTGTAAGGAGGAGTTAATGCAGAGCCCTCCAGCCATCCGAGGTGGGTTTAATTATCCCCAAAAGCCAAGCAAAAAGTGTGGGAGCCACGGAACGGGGGATGGCAGGACGGGACCCTCCGGCTGCTGGTGCCCGGGGGGAGCTGCCAGGACCAGGCAAACCCTTCCATGGGGACAGCCCAGAGTCAGCAGGACAAACCTGGCTCCTCCAGAGCGGTGCCAGCACACACATGGTCACACAGCAGGAGCCAGGGGCAATGCCAGGGGTGGCTGCTCGTGCCACCCTCCTCCTCCTGCCATCTGCCACTGCCTGGGACACGGGGAGTGTGGAGAAAGGGGGACATTGAGGTCAGTCAGGGCTGTGCCCACTTGTGGCACTGGGGGGTCCTGTCCCCTCTGGCACTGGCACATGGGCACATGGGGATTTTGGAGGTCAAGGCAGTGGTCTGGGACAGTGCCAACACTTGAGCTTGGCAGGTCTCAGCAGAGGGGGGATGTCTGGGGTGCAGGGGGGAGATGGTTGAGGTGCAAGGGGGGTGTCTGGGGCCCGGGGGGTACCTGGGGTGCAGGGGGTGTTCTCAGCCATACAAAGCCCTGGTGATGTCGGTGCTGAGGGCTGTGGGAGATGGATTTGGGGCATGGGGTCACGGGCAGCCCGTGGCTCTCCAGCACCAGGACGTGTGGGGGTCCTGTGGGAACTCGTCCCCAGGGAAAGGCACAGAACTCCCCGTGGGTGATGTGCAGAAGGAAGGCAGGGAGGGGCAGGTGCCAGGGCTCACCTCCTGCCTCCCCTTCCAGAGGGGGGCCCCAAAAAGCTGCGCAGCACCATCCGGAGGAGCACCGAGACCGGCATCGCCGTGGAGATGAGGACCAGGGTGACCCGGCAGGGCAGCCGGGAATCCACCGACGGCAGCACCAACAGCAACAGCTCCGACGGCACGTAAGGCACCGGGGGGGGGCGAGGGGAGCGGGGCTGGGCACCCTCCCGGGGCGCCGGGGCTCGCTGGGGACCGGCAGCCGGCGATGCTCCATCCAAGTCCTTTGCAGGTTCATCTTCCCCACGACCCGGTTTGGCGCCGAGAGCCAGTTCAGCGACTTCCTGGACGGGCTGGGGCCGGGGCAGCTGGTGGGGCGGCAGACGCTGGCAACCCCCCCGATGGGTGAGTGCCCGGGCAGGGGGGGTCCCCACCGGGGCAGGGGAAGCGCCCGGGGAGGCTCCGGCCGGAGGGACGGGGCTGCGGGGGGAAAGTGCCCGTGCGCTTCTCCGCGGGGCACCGGGCACGGGCTCCGTCCCGGCACATCCCGGGGGATGCCCGGCCCTTTCCCGGCCGCTCCCGCTGCCGGCCCCGCGCAGGGAGGGAGCCTGCAGGGCTCAGGGCAGGACACGGCGGCTCTGCCCTTTCCCGAGGCTTCCTCTGCCCCTCCGAGCATCCCGCTGCGAAGGGGAACCGCAGCAACCGCCTCTTGTTCCATTTCTCCCTTTTTAAATCCCACCCGGGGATCCAGGAGATGTCCACGTGGGCATGACCGACCGGAACGGGCAGCTGGAGGTGGATGTGATCCAGGCACGGGGACTTATCCCAAAGATGGGCTCCAAGTGCATCCCTGGTAGGTGGCTGGGGAGGGAGGGGTTGGGGGTGGAGGGGGATGGACACCGTGCCGGGATCATCCCAGGATCCTGCCTCGGGTCACTGTTTCCCTCCCGTTTCCCTGGGCAGCCACCTATGTGAAGGTTTACCTGCTGGAGAACGGCGTCTGCCTGGCCAAGAAGAAGACCAAGGTGGTGAAGAAAAGCTGTGACCCGTCGTACCAGCAGCCTCTGCTCTTCGAGGAGAGTCCCCAGGGCAAAGTCCTGCAGGTGACGATCCCCTGGCGCTCCGGGGCTCGGAGGGATCGGTTGGGAGGGATCTTGAAGCCCATCCAGTCCCACCCCCTGCCACGGGCTGTCCCCCGCTGTCCCAGGTTGCTCCAGGCTGGCCTTGGACACTCCCAGGGATCCAGGGGCAGCCACAGCTTCTCTGGGACACTGTGCCACCCTCCCAGGGTGAGGGGAGCCAGCACAGGGCACGGAGCCCCAGTGCCCGCCCTGCTGCCCTCCAGACCTTCCCTCCCCGCTCACAGCGGGTCCCCTCCCTCCAGGCGCGCTGAGTTCGCCGCGTTTTCCCCGGAATTCCCACCTGGCAGCTCCATAAATCCCCCGTCTGTGCCCGCAGGTGATCGTCTGGGGCGATTACGGGCGCATGGACCACAAGTGCTTCATGGGGATGGCCCAGATCATCCTGGAGGAGCTGGATCTCTCCAGCACCGTCGCGGGCTGGTACAAACTCTTCCCCACGTCCTCGCTGGCCGACTCCAGCATCGGACCTCTGACCCGCCGCCTCTCCCAGTCCTCCCTGGAGAGCTCCACCAGCCCCTCCTGCCCGTAGGGGGGCAGGTCAGTGGGAGAGGGGAGGGGGAAGGAGACGCCCTGACCTACCCAAACTGGGCGTGGAGAGCTGTAAATATCCTTCCTTTTTTTTTTTTTTGGGTTCCCTTTTTTTTTTTTTTTTTTTTTTTTTTTTTTTTTTTAATTTTTATTTCGAAAATTCTCCTTCCCCAACCAAAAAACCTGCCCCTGGACACGCCCCCCCCTCCCCACGCTCGTGTCCCGGGCACGTGGAGGGGATGTGGGAGAGGGAGTGAGAGGGCCGTGTGTGAGGCAGGGGGGGAAGGAGGAGCAGAACAAACCCCCCCCGAGGGCTGCACCTGCCGATGATGATCCCAGAACTGTTCCCACGCCTCGTCCCAGCACCTGGAAGGCCTCGAGGAGCCCAGTTCTCTCCTGACCCCCAGTGAGAGCAGCTCAGTCTGGTTCAGCAGCCTGACGACGAGGTTCCTTTCCTTCCACTTCCCTTTCCTTGCCTCCGAGGGAAAAAAAGGGAGCTTTCCAAGGGGGGAAAAAAAAAAACAAACCAACAAAAAAAAAACACTCAGAAAAAAAAAAAAATCCAACTCAGCACTACTTTTGTTTTCCAAGGAATGTAGCATCTTCTCTTATGTAGCTTTGCCACGTGCTAACAACACACTCACTGCAATATCCAAGAGACTCCGGATGGGCCGGGAACATCTGCCAGTCACGTCCCGTTGGTTCATTTTTCCGAGCACTTTTGGGGGCCATTTTTTTCCTTCCTTTTTTATTCCCCCCCCCCCCCCGTTTTTTTTTTGTTTGTTTTCCCGGTAGCATGTAGCCTGTGAGCAGTGCCATTGCCAAAGCAAGAGAGGGCAGGGAAAGGGGCACTCCCCTCACCTCAGCTGGTTCTTCTGCTCGTGTCCCAACCGCTGACCGGGGGCTCGTCCGGCCACGACGAGACCCAAAAGATGAACTCTGGGATGCCTCACGTGGAAATTCCAGCCGGGAGAAGGCGGCCCAACGGAGCAGGAATACCAGGATCATCTGGTTGATCATCTGCCTCCTGGCCCCTTCCTCCCGTGAGGGCCAGCTGGAGGGCTGGGATGCCCTCCCTGGAGCTGGGATGTCCTTCTTAAGGTCTGGATGCCTCCTTGGGGTCCAGGATGCTCTCCTTGAGGACTTGGGATGCCCTCCTCGAGGTCAGGAATGCCCACCTTGAAGTTGGGATGCCCTTCTCGAGGTCCAGGAGTGCCCACCTTGAAGCTGGGATGCCCTCCTCGAGGTTTGGGAATGCCCATCTGCATGTTGGGATGCTTTCCTTGAGGGTCTGGGGTGCCCTTCTTGAGGTCTGGGATGTTCTCCTCAGGGGTTGGGATGCCCTCCCCGAGCTCTGGGATGTCCTCCTCGGGGTCAGGACGCCCTTCTCGAGAGCTGGAATGCCCTCCTTGAGGTCTGGGGTGCCCTCCTTGAGGTCTGGGATGCTCTCCCCGAGGTCTGGGATGCCCTCCTGGATACTTGAATTCCAAGCAGGAGCGGAGGGTTCGCCCAGCCCTGTTCTCCAAACTCTGGACTCGCTGATTTGCTACAGGGGAACATCTCAACAAGCACCTTGTGCTGCTCTGGAATTCGGGTGCCGGAGAGAGGGGACGGCCAAGGGACTCTCTGGGTTGAGTTTCTCGTCAGGATTGAGTGTTTTGGGGGTTTTTGTTTGTATTGTTTTGTTTGTTTTTAAAAGCAGCATTTTTGGTTCCCTCCGAGGGACCCAGTTCTTGTAGCAAACCCGAGAATTAACGGAAGCTTTTTTTGAAGGTGCCTAAATGAAATTTGCTGAAAAATACTCAGGGGAGACACCACTAGAAACTCTGGTTTCTTCGTAAAATGAACCTAATCCAATGACTGTCCTGAAGGATCAGTTCCCAAAAAGAGAGGAAAAAAAAAACCACAACCAAACCCAACACACCAAAAGATGAGCAGTTTGGAGACTGGAAGAGGACAAGAGGTTAATGGGGAATTTTTGCCAACCAGCTGGCTCTGACCTTCAGTCTTCACCACAAACCAACCCACAGCACAGCTGGGATTTTTATACAATTATTTCTTGGCAAAACACAGAATTCCACAATGCACAGAGCACAACAAACCAACCGAGGTTCTCCTGGTGACACCGGGAACGACGAACCAGCTCAGCCACCACGGAACAAAACCAAACCTGAAGGAAAAAGACTGTTGGGATGAAGCTGTTCCCTCCACAAACCCCAACCTGGGGGTCCACAAACCCCCAAACCTGGGGGCCCACAAACCCCAAACTTTGGGGTCTCCAAACCCCAAACTTTGGGGTCCCCAAACCCAAACCTTGGAGTTCAAAACCCCAAACCTGAGGGTTCACAAACTCCAATCTTGGAGTCCCCAAACCTAAACCTGGTGGTCCACAAACCCAAACCTGGTGGTCCACAAACCCAAACCCAAACCCAGGGGTTCACAAACCCAAACCTTGGGGTCCCCAAACCCACGTCTGGGGCTCAGCAGGACTCCACTGTGCAGTGGCTGCTTTGCCAAACAGCACCAAATTTAAGTGACATCATGACAAGGACTTTCAGCTGCTGTCTCGACTTTGCCAACCCAAAATCGCTGGAGACCTCTGAGGAAAGAGGAGGCCCAGATGCTGCTGACCTGGGATGGGGAAAGGTTCATCCTTTCACTTGGTGAAGGGTGGAATCCTCTGCTGGAGCAGCTCGCTCCGATTCCTGGGCTCCTGCTGGATGGCAACGGAAGGAACGTGGGATGCACTGAACCTCCAGTGGTTTGGGGAAGCAAACTCGGTGCCCTGACTCCTGAAACAGGAACTAACACTGGTTGGAACGTGACGTTCCCTGCAGAGCACGGAGCAGCTCCTGGACGAGGCCGAGCTTCCTCTGCCCGGCGCTGGATTTCTGACTGCACATCAGGGAAAGCATCCTGAGAGGAAAAGATTTCCTCTCCTCCGAGCTGACACTATTTACCCTGTTTCGATGGGAAAATGCCAAACCTGCCCGTGGTGGGAGCACGGAACGTCCGGAGGGCCGCGGAGCAGCGGCGTGGGCAGAGCAGGGAGCTCTGCAGGGACGTTGTGCTCGCTGCTGTGGGCACACAGCGTCCCACCCCCTCCCTTCCCAGCTCTGCATTCCTCCAGCAGAGCTTCCTTTCCCTGCTCCTCTCCCTGCCAGGAACATCACACGCCTGTGTTCTGACAGAGAACAGAGGCGGGTGAGGAGCAGCAGAACATCCCGACCACGCGCCCGGGGTCCGGCAACAGCCTCGCTGCTCCTGCCCCAGTTACCAAAACCCCGCTGGAAAAACCCAGAGGGAAGAACCAGCACCTGGAAGGCACAACCTGGGTGCTCCGGGGAACAAGGAAAACCCGAAGATTTTTGCTTCTTTCTGGTCCCTGCCACGCTGAGGATGCGCTGGGGGGTGACTGAACAAACTGCTCCCCAGTTCCCCCTCGGTGCTGGGTTTGTGTTTGCTGCCTCACGGGGCTGATCCCTCCTGCTCCTGGACACTGGCAAGGTGGAGCCACCATGCAGTGACTTCAAATGACCAAAATCCAACAAGACCTTCCCTTCTTCCCTTCCAGTCCCCCCCTCCCAGGAGCTGCCCCTCACTTCCCTGGGGGAGCACCTTGCACAGGTGTGGGAAAACTAAACTGGGGGAATTGTGCCACAGTCACACTGAAACATCAGCTCCTTCTCCTTTCTCAGCCCCTGAGCCCCCCTGTCAGATGTTTTCCCTCCTCCAGCAACGAGAACAACGGAGCCAAGACACCCCATTGCTTTCTACAAAGCACCCAGGAATCCAAAACTCAGCCACTGAGAAAATTCACTCCATCCCAGGACAAACCAGAAGCTTCTGCACTCCAGGGTTTTTCCCTTTCCTGGGGGAATGTTTTATTGCCAAGGGCATTTTTTTTCCACGTGCAATATGACTTGCAAAAGGTGGCTGCCTCGGTGTTATGGGTCAGATTATCTCCTCTACCTCCCATCATGGAAGGAAAGTCAAACCACTTGATTTGGCAGATATTTTTTTTCCCCCAGAAAGAATAATTAATACGAAATGACATCAGCTTTGCAGGCTGTTTTACACCCAGCCCCCAGCAGTGAGGAGCAGCACCCACCTGACACAGACCTCTCTGAACGGCGCTGCCGGGGCTGGAATCAAACCCCCAGCTGGAGTCACAAGGCTGGATTTTACCAAAATAGCCTTGAAATGGTACTTAAACATCCCCTAAATGCTAATAGAAGTCACAGCCACGCAGCAAAGCACAGAAAGCACTCGGTGATTCCAGGCCTGAGTTATCCCTGTGTTTTCTCCTGGCCTGGAATGGGCTGAATTTGCCAAAGTGGAGTGAAAATTTTCGAGGGCAGCAGGAGCTGGGCCCAGAAATCAGCTCCTGTGTCATCATGGCATGCTGAAAGCAGGGGGAGAGGATGCTTCAACGTAGTTCTCCGGAAATCCAGTGAGATACCAAAACAATTCCCAGGAATCAGGGAACTGAACCTGCTGCCACGGAGCAGCGGAGCCGGTGGGAAGCATTCCCCCCACATCCAGCTTTTCCAGCTCTTGCAAGCTTTTTTCTCCGGAAGCAGTTACAGGTGCAGCTCTTGGTTACAAATCCAAGAGCAGGAATTCCTCGGGAGTGGGATCAGGATTCCCCTTTGCTGTCAGGGAATCTCTTCTGTGGCACCACAGCTCGGGCAGAGCTGAGATTTGGGAAGAGCAGCCTGGGTGTTTGGGAGAGGAGCAGCCACATTCCATCCCTTGCCTGGTTTTCCTGGGCTCACAAACCCCCAGCACTGCTGAGAACAGCCAGAGGGTCCTTCCTGCTCCAAAATTACTTCCAAAATCAGCACCAGGGATGTTTTTTCCAGGTGGAAAGAATCCATCTTCTGTTTTCTTCTGGTTGATTCAGGGGCTTCGCTCCGGACTGACATGACACACTCGGACACTCCACGTCTGTCACCTTCCCAAAGGTGTGGGATTGGCCACTGGTTTGGAAAACAACAGCACTGCCCAGGTCAGGGAACAGTGTTCCAGCACTGTTTGTCTCACTGGCCCAATCCAAAGCCCAAGTGTGGTTTGCATCACGCATGGAAAAAC